AGAAGTGTTAGAGCGGTGCATCTACAAACGCACTTCTGGATGAGACATCAGGAAGATGTGGTACAGACGCACCATGGCACTAGACCAGGAGACCCATTCGCGGACATAGTTTTCAGCTATGTCTGGGCGGGTGTTCTTCACAGACTCCAGTCTTTCATGAGCCATCATCAAATGATCAGCACTTTTCCCAAGCTCACTCAGTTTGCCTTGTTTGAACAGATCGATCCAAGACTATACCAGACAGATGAGTTTATTGGACCGACATGGATGGATGATTTAGCCATCTGTCTGCAGGGCAATACAGGCGAAAACATCCTTCAAAAGGTAGGGGTGGTGGCGAGCCGACTTCTTGAACTTTGCATTGAACATGGCATGACCCCAAACCTCTCGAAGAACAAGACAGAGGTTCTGCTGTCATTTCGGGGACGCGGCTCGCGCCAGCAGAAGAAAAGATTCTTCGGCCCTCAGGCAGCCGGATGTCTTCCAGTCGTCACAGAGTACGGCACCATGCAGCTCCCCCTGACGACGAGCTATGTCCACTTAGGAGGACTACTTCACCATGCCTGTGATCAGCGTGATGAAATCAAGAGACGCTTGGGTATCGCATTTTCCACTGTCAATCAACATCGAAAACTGATCTTCCGCAACTGGGCGCTTCCTTTGCAGAAGAGGTGCCAACTACTAGAATCTCTAGTACTTAGCAAACTCCTGTACGGTGCAGAAACATGGGTCGTCACAGACGAGGCGACGGTGACCCACTTCCATGCGGCTGTCATCCGCTTGTATCGCAGATTACTTCCAGTCCCACCAGACCAACATTTGGCCGATGACGAGGTGTTATCGCAGGTCCACATGCCCAGCCCGGTTGAGCTCATTCGTAGAGCCAGACTCAGATATGTGGCTACGCTACATCACTGTGGAGAACGTCACGAATGGGGGCTACTGGCTGCAGATCGAGCATGGCAAGGATTGGTTGAGGATGACATGGATTGGATGTGGGGTCAAATCAAGCACAGCTCTCAGATGCCGAACCCCAAGCTACATTGGGAGCGTTGGAGAGAGGTGATTTGCTTTCATCGATCGTACTGGAGGAGACTCACCCGTAGAGCCTTCGAGCACGCCATCCTTCAGCGGGAGAAGCAATGGCGCGTGCAGGTCTTCTATGAGTCCCTGACCTGGCATCTACGGCAGATCCTCAAGTACGCGGGTGCATCTCTTGCAAGAAAAGATGTCGCAACAAAGCAGGAGAAGCAGCACACATGTTCCGAGTCCATCACCAGGTGGCGAAGCGCAGATTGCTTGTTGATGACCCAGTTTGTCCAGCGTGCCTCAAAAACTTCCACACCATGGGAAAGTTGACAGCGCACCTATACTATGCCAAGCACTGCCGCAGAACGCTGCACAGCCGAAATTATGAGTGTGCGCCAGTGCCGGGCAAGGGCTCCAATCAAGACCAACAGAACACCAAAGAACATGATCGACTGTTACCTCCGATTCAAGCTGAAGGACCTCAACAGGCGCCACAGCGAGCTCGCGAAGAAACGGAGGTTGACTCTGACCTGCATGTGTTCCTCATGGAGACCTTCCTCGATTTGGAGAATGTGGAGGTGGCGATCATGCACATCTTGGAGGAGCTGGAGATGCGGCCTACAACCTGGACTACCTGGACGGCGACTTTGCGCTACTTCGTGGACACGCTTGACGATGAAGATGCACAAGCCTGGCCGGTATCACTTACCGAGGTTAAGGCTCGACTCTTGGACTTGTTGGAACCAGTGAAGTGGGACTTGGACGCCCCTTTTGTCAAACCTGTGCAAAGCCTGGAAAGACTGGAACAGGAATGCCGAGACGTTGCAGTCACCGAATGGCCTCCAGGCTCTGATGTTCCCAGGGAAGCCTTCCGACATCGAGTTTTGTTGCACATCTTCTCTGGCCGTAGACGGCCGGGTGACCTGCAATTCTTCCTTGATCGCATGGAGGGACCTTGCCACTACATTCTCCATGTCGTCAGCATGGATGTGGTAGTCGACGCAGTTTGGGGAGACGCCATGGCTGTTGGCACCAGGGACTACTGGCAGAAGGCGGCACTGGACGGCTTTGTCGTCGCCTTCTTGGCGGGCCCCCCATGCGAGACATGGTCGAAGGCCAGAGGCAAAGGAGTCCCCCTGGACAAGAACAAGAAGCTCCCCCGCATCCTGAGAGATGAGGATCACCTATGGGGACTGCCAAGCTTAGCTCTTCGAGAGCTCACGCAGGTTCTGACCGGGAACGAGCTACTCACCTTCACGCTGCTGATGGCAGCGATCATGGTGCAAACGGGCGGAGCAGGCGTCGTGGAGCACCCAGCAGAACCGGAAGAGATGGCGGCGTCGATCTGGAAACTTCCGGCGGTTCTTGCGCTTCTTCAAGCCCCAGGAGTCAACCGACATCGCATCGCCCAAGGACTTTTTGGAGCCCCTTCGGCAAAGGCGACAGACCTGATGGTGATCAATCTTCCCCACATTGTCGCCGAACTCAGATGCTGGATGCTCCGAAAGGAATTGCCACATGGAGCCTCTATAGGCCTTACGGCTGACGGCCAGTGGCGTACAGGGATACTCAAAGAGTATCCGCCAGCCATGTGCGGAGCACTGGCATCAGCATTCCGTCGGGAGCTCGACAGGACACCGACGAAGACTGGGTCAGAACCGAAGCCGGATGACATCGCCTTGTGGGAATCACTGACAGTGACCATGTATAGTTCCCATATTGGCCAGGATTTTGCCGGCTAGGCTGACCACAGTGAATTCAAAGACACAGCAATGGCCGCAGCACAGCGCAGCAATGGGCCAGGAGGGGAAAAATATATATATATATGGTTGGTGGTTAAGCCTACCCCTCTGAAAAATATATGAGTTCGTCAGTTGGGATGATGACATTCCATTCCCAATATGATGGGAAAGTCATAATCCATTCATGTTCCAAAGCACCAATCAGCCATTACTAACCATAATTAACTTTTACTGACCATCATTAACCTATGGTTTTCCTATGGTTTTCAGACCACCAACCAGTCATGGATAATCCATGGGATCCCAGTAAAATCGTGGGCATTCCTCCAGTAGATCCCACTGCCATCATCTCCCATCCCCCACCTCGCCCCGCAGCGCCGCGGCGAGCGGGAGCCCAGCTGTCCGAAATGGCCGCGGAAAGGGTCCAGCACTTGGAGACATGCCAAGATCTAAAACAACACAGAGGTAGACTTTGTAATACGTACCATGGTGAAATATATATATAGATATAGATATAGATATATATTATTACAGTATATATATATATGGCCCATTTATAGATGGTTTACCTATTAAAAAATAATCCATTCATGTTCCAAACCACCAACCAGAATATGTACCTGAAAATACACCAAAACATATGCACGTGCACGCAGTCACACCCAAAAAAAATTTGACGCAGAAAAAAACATCTACACAGATACACATCTATGCACAAGATGTACCATCTGGTTATTTAACATAGCCATGGAAAATCACCACTTTTAATAGGTAAACCTCTATAAATGGGCCATTTCCCATGGCTATGTTAAATAGCCAGAGGGTACTACGCGTGACGTGTTTTCACCAGACCGCCGGCGAACTGGCTTTCGCTCTGCCGGTGTTCGGTCAGGACGCGCGTCATGGTGATTCGCTGCAACTGCAGATCTCATTGGGATCCCCCAGGAATGATCATGCTGAACCTCAACAACAAAATATGGGTGTTTTGTTCAGGACATTACCATCCAAAGTATATATCAACCGAAATTTTCTGGTTTTCTTCTGGTCCGAGGATTTATAACTGTGTAATTCTTGGGATAGGATGACTAGCGAGTAAGTGTTAAAAATGTGGATTCCCAAGATGAAAGCATTACATGAAGTCTGTGACACCTGCAACATGCAGATCATGCAGTCTGCCGCCACTCAAAGAGACTCAACAAGGTCATCTTCAAACAGAAAAGCTACCAAAGAACCAGAATAGTGGTTGTATCCACCTCTGAAATCCAACTTGGAACCCAAATTTTTTTGGCCATGTTCAAAGTCTGTAAAATCATCTGAACTCGTGAGATATGGTTGCCTAATATCGAAAAATTGTTGGGTACTATATACATTTAATAGTTATGCAGTATAAGTACGTCGTATATATATATAGTAATTGGACTGCACATATGCTGCAATAAATGTATATAGATATTGTTATTTTATATATATATATATATCATAAATCATATTGTATATATTTATTATTATATGAGTTTTCAATGCCTAGTAGTACCGTGGGCCCTCTGCGTTCTGGGGTTCCATGTCGGTTTTCGTTTCGGGGATAGGCAACGGCAAAGGGCCGGTCAGCCCAGACACTTCAGTCATATGGCTCCACTTGGATGTCTCGGTGCAATTCTCAACTCCCAAGTCATCAGCTGAAAAAAAAACGTTAAAAAAAGGTCTTGCCAGGTGCAAAGTCATCAAAAAAACAACACAATATTTGTCATGATATACTGTGTATTATAATGTATTATATATATATAAATATATACATACTTGTCATGATAATATGAGGTGTTGAGATCATGATTCTCGGGTTTCTATGGGTATGGCGACCTGAGAAAAACCAGCACCTGTGAACTGTGAAGCATCATCAAATTTGATCCAATTTGGCGGATGAGTTTGAGCTGCAGCTGATATAGTTACTATAGAATACACCAATGTTGCATGATTCAAAGGCAATGGAAATCACTCAGCCCACCCTCGCAAACATCCAAGCAGGCCAAACCTCCCATGACGAACGTCATGACGAACACCCGGCGACGTCATGTCGCGGGGACAGGCGCAAGGAGGCATGGATACTGTGGCATGGCCAAGTCCAATTGTTCCATCAAAACCAACTCAACCAAAATCCCACGGAAAATGCACCCCATTCACCCACATTCATCCAAATTTCACCAGATTTCACCATCATTTCACCATCATCCCCTAGTCTTTTGATGTCTCCCTGGGCACGGCCGAGCCCTTTGAGGCCGACGCGCCGCTGCCGGCGCTGTCGCGGCTGCCGTAGGACTGGCCGCTGGCCATGGAGCGCAGGGCACCGCTGAGGGTCTTCGGGGTCTCGCTGCGCGACGTCCTGCGGCAAGGTGTGCGATGGGAAAAAAAACTGGGATCTGAGGGATCTGATCTCAAAATCGAAATCCAAAGTTAGGATGTTCAATGGATGTTCATGTTATCCCATGTTATCCCATTGTTGAAACTTTGCCCATCAAGTTGTCCCTTTCTGAAGATAGTGCTGCAACGACTGGGATTTGGATTTGAAACGACTGGGAGTTGGGGGTTTTTACAAAGGATCAAGGATCAAGGTTTTCAAACTTTAGGAGCCACATGGCCACATGTTTCACTGTGGATGTCAAAAAGCAGCAAGAATGGGGAGCTTGGCCTCCAAGACTTAGTGGATTACTTCTATGGCAAAAGGGCACCCAAAGATGGTCCAGGATCCGATTTAGGACGGAGTAGTACCGATTCCATATATTTTTGGCCTATATTTTAGGCCGAAATTTCAGGGAATATCCCTAGAACATATGCCCTTAGATAGTACAGTGCCTCCATTTTAGGATCCTGGATTTCCCATTGACATGGTTCCCTGCCCAGCTGCGCAGTGTCCGATGAGCTGCGTGCTCTTGCACCGGGCTGGGGACGTTGGCCTGGACATTCGCAGAAAGGCTCGCAGATGCTGCTTCCAAGGTTGGAACAAATCTTCACCTTCCCGTTCATGTGCTGTAATACTGTGGATGGTTGCGAAATCCTGCACCAGTTGAAAACGATGGTTTATCCCATGATTTTGTTTGGGTTTCAACCATCCAAGGTGATGCAGGATTTCGCAACCATCCACAGTATGTTTCAACCCATCCCTACGATCAAAAATGGGCACGACATCACCACTGAGAACTGGAATTGCTCACCATGGATGCAGAAGGCATGTGCTCAATGCGCATGGGCAACAAAATCAGAAGTTATTTGGCGTGCTGGGCAAGGTAAATGACCAGAAAAGTCATATCTTTTCCCCGGCAAAGTAGGGCGATATGTGAGCTGTTCTCCGAAAGCTTGTTCAGATTATGTTCCAAATGCCATCACATTCGAGAGCCCCGCTGCGCCCTGCTGCACACAAACAACTTTACTTATTTACTTCTCTCACTTCTGCACAGTTCGCAGCAATGTGAACGGAACTGAGATCTACTTCGAGTGCAAATCAAAATGCAGCGGTCTTCGCTGCTCCGAATTATGAACTCTTGCAAGTACTAGCATCAACTTGTTTTACAAGTGTGCTGCTGCTATTATTCGCATGCGTCTTGCAAGTCCCAACTAAACTTTCTTTGCGCCAAGAGCAACCAGTATACGTCTAGGAGGGAACCTACATGTCACTTGATGTTTCATTCCGAGGTTCACAAGAAAGGGGCTTAATGAATACTCCTGAATGGATGGCAAATACGCCTGAAACTGGGGGAAGCATCACAATGAATGCTGTGACAACAATAGCCCACGCCATTGCCTTCATCACTACGCAGCAACTGCTTGCACAACATTTCTGAATTCCTGATCGGACTGATCGGGTCCCATGTTCTTTAGCCCGTAGTCTGGCCACGAACAGCTGTTCAGGCCAATACAAATTATGCTGACCCTTTGTGAGGATACCCTGTACAATCTCGTCAATTTTGACCACAAAGTTCATCGCAAGACAGTTCAAGATGCGATCGCAGCTTTGGGACGTATGACGAAACTACGAGACACCCATTTTGCGAAGTCTGTCCGTGCTCCCGCGTGAGCTGCATACAACTGGGTGACCTCCACAAATTGCAGGGGTCATTGTACATTGCCAGAGTCACAATGGAGAGGTAGATGATGATGATTCCTTGGAAAGCCAAACATAGCACAAAGACCAGCACCTGGAGCACGCAGGTCCAAGCTAAGGCAACAGTTCCGCCAAGTCTACTACATTGGCTGAGCCAAAAGATCAATTGGTCGATTGCAACCATGGTTGTGAAATAGGCATCTCCCTCCAATGCCTGAAAATTCCGCATGTAAATCTCTGCTGGGCTCTCATATGTAGAGGAAATCTCCTTGGTGAGGGCCGCTAATTCCTTTTCAATTTCCTCCATGCGGGTCGTGAGTTGCCTGAATTCCCAAGCATCCATGCTTAAATTGAAACTAGTCTCTGGCGATGTAACATTTTTGACCATCCCTTTGATTTGCTGAAACCATCCCGTGAATGTTGCATTTTGCTTGGCTTGTACCACTCCGATATCTGGAACCTTCTTCAGCTCCTCACGTTTTTTTTCCACTTCTTGCAGTTCCTCAAGCAACGTGTCTAGCCTTGCCAGAGCTGGTATCTGTTTTCCTGCCTCAAGTCCGTCCGCAACTCCTGTCAGAATGTCCTCTACCTGACTCTTCCTGACGTTTGGCAAAATTTCGCCCAGCCGTGTCTTTTTCCCACGAGGCTTGCTCGCGGACAGTCTGTAAGTGTGAGACCTCCGAAGACCTCTTTCGCGCGTTTCCTCACCTTCATTTTTGTCTTCGTGGGTGCTGCTGCCCTTTTCCAAATCGTCAATTGATTGCCCAGAACTCTTTTTTTGAGAGCCTCTGAAAACTAACTGCCAAAAATTAATCCTTCGCAATCGCTGAGCTCCCTGTTTGGCTTTGCCTTGAGCAAGTCTTTAAGCAGCAACGATTCACATACTGTCTCGTCTCGACTAAATTGAGGACATGTCTGAATGTATTTGGCGTCTGTTTCCAACATGTCTGAATGTGTTTGACATGAGTTTCGAAAGTGGCGACCCAATTTAAGCATTACCAAATTTGGAACCTGAACACCGAAAACATACGAAGTAACGTGACAATATGTTTCAGACCATAAACAGAGATGGCAGAGAACATACAACCTCTACTCTTCCCAATCAGATCTGAGTAGGAAAGCCATATCAACAGAGCCAGCCTTGGAAACCGCCTTGTAGCCATTCTGTTGATCAGCCAAGAGGACCCAACCTGGGCTGCGACTGCTGCGAGACTGCTCGACTCGGGCGACTGATTGTGACTTGACCTGTCTGTGACATACCTACCCTCTGGTTATGACTAACATAGCCATGGTTAAGCCATGGCCCATAGAAATAGATAGTTTACCGAACTTAAAAATGGGTGGATCTTTCCATGGCAAACTGTTAGTCATAACCAGATGGTACTTAAATTTTAATACAAACACGTCTGAAGTAAGATGTTCCATTGTTGGATATGAATTCATTAGGTCACAAGCCTGTTACTAAGCATCCCCCAGCCTGAACAGAGGTCCCCTGCCTGCCACTGGGTTGGAGATGCGACCCCAGATCTTTCCTTTGCCGCCACGAATGGCCTGTCCCATCGATTTGCACACCGAGGGTCAAGCGGTTTCAGCATGGAGACCTTATACTCTCTGGTAAACATACAAAAAACTATGGAAAATCACCATGTTTAATGGGAAAACTCACTATAAATAGGCATGTTCAATAGCTATGTTAGTTTACCAGAGGGTAGGTTTTGTAGCGAATTCATAAAAGACACCGCCAGCTTTACTGGAAATGGGTCAGATAAATTATCACCAATTTTGGGGGGTCTGTTTTGGGCGATGTATATATGCAATATGTACACATAGATACTTATACTATCTATATATATATATATTATTGTTTTATTTATTTATTTATTTATGTTTATTTATTTATTTATCTCTTCCAAAAATCAACGAAGTTTCGGGAAGCTTCTTGGCCGCAAGCCTTGGGCGATCACCAACGATTGCTGGATGTTCAGCAAGACATTGGCAACCAAGATTCAGGAACCGATTGATTGGAGGTACCTACCATATATTTTTGGCCTATTTGTTAGGCCTAAATTTCCGGGAATATCCCCAGCAATTCATATGGCCTGAAAAATGATACTAACGTACCTCCATCTGTTGGATCCTGAGTCATTCCCATTGATTAAACGATGCGATGCATCATGACAATGAGAAAATTCAGTGTTGGAACAGTGGTTCCAATGCACCAGGATCAATAGTACAACTTTTGTGGTTTGCTTGCAATGTCTGGTGATCACCCCCTGGCAATCCGAAATCATCAAGGCGCCGAGTATGTCCCCAAATCATGTCAAGAGAGTACGTAATCATTCCTATGGTGCTTGTACCCCATGTGTGCTTGAATCTCCATTTAAGTATGCGAAACCAGATGACATTTCCCGAATTATAACAATTTCATGCCCGTTGCTGTTCGTCAGCTCTACTTTTCTCTTTTTCGCCCCACTTCCCAGTGAAAAATGGTTCATTTTTGTGCCTCATCTATATCTGCCAGTCATAACCAATCATTCTAAAAGAAAACATCCTATTTAGGGTGGCCATGTCTACCCGTTCATCTTCCCCCATGTGTTTTATGTTTTTTTTCCTGCTGTTCTCCCAACGGTTTGCAGCTTCAAAAACCGTCCGTTCTGTCAGCGCATTTCACGTCCCATTTCTTGCGGGTCACCCATCCCATTCGTATATCGCTGTGAAAATCCGTTGATTCCCAGCTATTAACAACCGAAAAAATCCCAGTTTGCTGGTGCATTAGATATGATTTAAGCATATCTAAGCCATATGAAAAATTATGGTACCATATGAACTATCCATTGATATATCTATTAACTACCTCATTTCCCCAGCATTTTTTGGTCCATTCCCAGCCCTACCCCACCTGTTCCACCATGATGCGCTTGCCGTGCGCCAGGGTGCAGATCACCGTGGAGGTACTGGTGGCGGCCATGCGGATCACCTGGCGGCCATCGAAAAAGGAGCGAAGAAATAGGGAAGAGCAACCAGAAATTTTAGGGAATGATAGTAAATGATAAATATGAATGTTATTAATGATAATGATAGTAAATGATAAATATCTGGGATATGATAGCATCTATCATAATAGTAAATGATAAATAATAATAGTGTTGTTAATGATAATGATAGTAGATCATAGTAAATTATAAGAATTGCTTATTATTGAGTTTACCACATGTGTTATTAATAGGTAAATGGTGTGCTTAATGATAATGGTTCTTACAGTAATCTTAATGTAACTATCATTTCTAAGTACTTGTGTTATGAATGATAATTACAGTAAATGATAAATGTCTAGTATCTATCATTATAGTAACAATTATAGTATCTTTCATCATTACTGTAGCAATAAATATTAATAAATGATAATGGCGTTCTTAATGATAATGGTTGTTAATGTTAATGTAACTATCTTTTTTTGTAATAGTGTTCTTAATGATCATGATAGTAAATGATAAATTACCAGACTTGGGTAACAAGAATAGTGATGATAATGATAGTAATCAAAGTGATTCATTGGTAATAATAGCATTATAATAGTAATAATGTCATTTCAATTAGAAATAGTGATAATAACAATATAGGAATAGTAATAGTAACTTGATATTATCCTATGACCATAACTCTAAAACGCATCATGACAATAATAAACTTAATAGTAGTAATGGCAGTAGTAACAACCTAATAATGAGAGTATTGACAATAAAATTGATACTAACAAAGACATACAATGATAATAGGGAAAAAAACAAAGAAAGAGAATATAAAAATAATAGCAACAACAATATATGTTTTGATGATAATGATTAGCCATAGTACTTGATAGCAATTGTATATAGCCTGAAAGGGAATCATGATTGATCTATGTAATAGTATGAACTATGTATGCACTATGTATGTACTCTTCGCATCTCATGAATCTCATGATCTCATAGTATTATGTCCCATCTTGCGAGTATGACAGCGGCAATAGCACATGATAAGGATACTATATATAGATACTGTAGTAATAATCATCATCACCATCATGATCGTAATTGTAATCATCACCGTCGACATCATCATCATCATCATCATCATCATCATCTTCATCTTCATCTTCATCTTCATCTTCATCATCACCATCGTCGTCGTCGTCGTCGTCGTCATCATCATCATCATCATCATCATATGTGTGTATTTATGTATTTATTATTCCTCCATCAAAATATCTGTGGATGATACCATTGGTATACCATAGGTAGTCTCATCAAGGGATTACTTTGATTGTGATAAGATTGTTAAACTCTGAATGATTGGTGATGTGTATTGTCCCACCCTTTGCCGGATCAAAATAAACCTATATAATGTAAACCTGGGGGTGTTTATTATTGTTCCCTAAGGGGAATGGTTATTGCAAACTGGGATGTCAAAACCAAAAATGATGATAAATTATGTCAGCATCTCACGTAGGGTCCCAGATTATTATGAAGCAAAACCCATGTTTTGAGCAACAAAAGCTGGGAGTTAAAACGAGCAAGATGGGTACCGGGCCTATGACCTACCCCAATGATTGTTCGGTGATCTAGCAGTTGAATCAGGCAAAGTCACCTAGCCATAACTGGGATCGTGGCTGGTGTGGTAAAGCCTGTTGGATTCCAGAAGTACAAGGAACAAAGGGAAACAAACACGTCGATCTTCAATACATGGTGACTATTCCATTGCACGGAAGCTAAGGTACGTGTGGATGGCAGAATCTGTAAGTTGGTAGCCATGAAATATGGCCAGTTGTGTCCGCAGATACGATCTAAACCAATTAGTCGTGGTGGAAGGTTATACTATAGATTTCCCCCAATTAAGCTTGGTTTATACCATATAAAAAATCCCTCAAATTAGCATTTGCACATCATAAACCATGCCATGAGTTGGGCGGAAGATTGGTTTTAACATGTTTTAACTTGGGACACTTGGGACCACTCTCAGGGTAAACTGTGAATTGTAGGTTTTACTATATACTCAACTGTTCCATTTTGGTAGGGCAAACCACTTTTTTTTAACTTCAAAAAATCGGTCCAAACAAGTCGGTGCTGCCACTTGAGTGTCCTTGATGCGACAGAGACCAATCCACTCCTGTGGAATCTTCGTGGGGCAAGATGTTTCATGCTGTGGATAATAGGGATAATAGAATCAACATTTTATATCGCTGTAACCAGAAGATATGTATATTATATATATATTAATATTATTATTATTATTATTCTGATGTGATCATTGGATAGTTTCATCATATTCAGGAACCCTGGGGTTGGTATCATTGTGACCGGGGACAATGTATTGGCCTTGTTACTCATTGGCCCATAGAAAGCATATCAAATGTGGAACCAAAAAAAAATCAAGGGATGATTCAATGTATTGGCCTTGTTACTCATAACCATACTGCATATCAAATAACCAACCAAAAAGGGATTCTTGCCATCAAAGAAATGGAGATTGTGGGTGCTTCACCCATCATCAATGAATTTCTTTGTCCAACCATGGTAGAAAAAAAACCACGATCCGATATTTCGTGATGTGGCCATTCTACTGGCAAACCATGAGACTTTCTGGGTAGCCTCATCAGTTACCCTCTGGTGATGTCAACAGTTTGCTATTGAAAATGACCCAATCGAAATAGTGGATTTTCCCATTAATAGCATGGTGGATCTTTCCATAGTTATGTTAGTCATTACCAGAGGGTAATGGGGTTTATAAACCAACAAACATCACTGGGGGGGCACCATCCTGTACTTTCAGTGGTTGCTTAATACTCAACATTCATTGATTCTCCTCTCACGATTGTGCAGATGGCAGAAGTCGCGCCGTTGTCGGCGCTTGTCGGCCATCCATTTCAGCTGCAACCTTTGTGTTTATCCCTGTAATCCCTATATATCCCTATCATTTTCACTTGGGAATTTTAGTCCTGTCTGGAAAATCAATCTGATCCCTATCAGTTTGTCATTCTTCCAATTTTTTCAACCATTTTGGAGTCACCTCCGGACAGATTTCTCGCACGACCATCGCCGATTTCTCGGCCATCCTTGGGATCTGATGGTCATCCTCCACTGAGGTAAATCCTCTATGAAATCCATGGAAATCAGGTCATGTATATTACGGTAAATCCTCCATCTGTTGTAAATCCGAAAATTTCGTACCCAATTTTTGTTGTTTATGTCAAAGAAATATCATGAGCTCGTTCGATATATCTACCATAAATGGCACAATGATATGTGCTATAAGTCAACTTAACTGACAAACTGGGGCACCTTGCAATGCATTTCATGTTTCCCCTCTGTACTCCCATGAAATATCCCAATGTTTGACTCAATTTTGTGCTGGTGAAATCATATTTAATGACACTTTTTCTTGCTTAATGCCATTCAACCACCATTTTTGTTGCTCAAAAACCCAGTACTTCTCCATCTTTGCTGGTGAAATCCCATTGAAATCACCGTCCGGGAGACCCCGGTCACGCCTGGCTTGGCCGACTCACCGAACTTCTTGAGGGCTAAGACGTGGCGAGAGCGTCCAGTTGGGGTTGGAAAAAGTCAAGGTGGATTTCATGGTAATTTAACTGGATTCAATGGGATTTAATGGTGATTTAACTGGATTCAATGGGATTGAATGGTGATTTCATGGGATTTAGTGGGATTGAATGACACTAAAAATGGTGATTTATGAAATGGTGATTCCAGTGGAATTTAACAAGCAAAACATGCGAAATGAATGAGATTTAAGCAAGAAGCATGATTTTCTGCACGAAAACGGGGATCATTTTTCAATGGAAGACTTGGCATGCTGCTTGGTGCTATCATCCCAAACGTTGGGGGAATACGTTTGATCCCCGAAAAACAAGAAATCATATGGTGACACGGTGACACCAAGATCCAACACCTCATACCCGGATGCCATAGTTGACGACTATTGACGACTCTGTTCACGAAAGAAAGCTGATATTATGATGGAAAATGGTCACATCCGTCGCACACCTGAGACATTCACCTGGGGTAAACATCCCCTACTAACCATCATCGGGCTTGGCCGGCAGGGTCGCTGTAGTGTCACACAGAACACTTCGTTCGCAATTGAGAAATAGTGTTGTTTTTTTTAGGCAGTGCTCTGAATTTCAGCAAAGGAGGTTGCCCAAAAATTTGGAACCCAATCCATCCCATACTTTATGGCCCATCATGTTCTGTGTTGAAGGCCATAGATTCAGTAAATCGCCCCATAAATCTAACCGAGAAACCCATATTCAGTATATTATTATGTGGCGATGGCTGGGAAATCCCCGAACTAGCCATGGAGGTTTTATACACTATAAATTTTAAATATGTGTGTTTTTTAAGAAAAAAATACAATAAATGTGTTCCCAATGGAATAACGTTTCATATATATATATATATATTCTATATGCTGTGGAGGCTGTAATCCTATATGTTTTATCTTATGGTTTTACAATAGGGTGGTTTCCATTGCTATGTTTGACTACCAAATGGTTATTGATGGGTTTATCACCCATACTCTCCATTAATTTCATGGTTATACTCCTGTTGCTTCATAACTATATCCCACTTTAGATGATGATGGAAAATCATGGTACCCTCTGGTTATTTAACGCTTTGCAAACTGGAAAATCACCATGTTATAGCTTTTTCTCATCATTTTGTTCAGCTATCAAGGGGCCATGTTCCATAGCTATGTGAAATAACCAGGGGGTATATCCCCTTTTGAGACAAAGCTGTGTAAATATGGTGCACATATCGACAGTTGTTCATTTTTCATCTGTCTCATCCTGAGACGCATAACTTTCATTATCGTGTTATATCTCCACATCTGGGGAGGTTCCATAAATGGGGGTACACCAATAGCTGGATGGTTTATAATGTAAAATCCTATATACCCATCATATCCCATGGTGATATTCCCCATGTCCCAGGAACTGTCCATGGCCACACAATCAAGGGATTAGTTTAAGGGAAAATCTACCGGAAACCATGGTTGTTTTTACCGCTACATGTAGAGGTTCCCGGCTTCATTTTGTTCCAATTCTGGGACAGAAATTAGCAAAACGTGCCGACCTTTGCCTGAAAATAGGATCATTACTATCTTCATTCCATGGTTTTCGATCATTTTCCCATGAAAATGACGTTCTCATGTCATTTTTTCCACTGAAAATGACCATCACCTGGGGTTCCCCAGATTTTCCAACCCCACCCAGTGACTCGGTGATGGACCACTTGGGCCACTTGGACCACTTGGATCACTTGGGCCACCCGGCCGAGAGGCCGAAGATTCCTTTGATCCTCACCTGGCTTCACGGATTTCTAGATACCTATGACATTATTCCTTATATACCAGATGCATATTATATATTATATATTATATATAATATGTAATATATTAATATATATATATTAATATATATATATATGTATTATTGTATACATCTGTATAATTCACAGCATAGTTTGTAGATTCAGCGAAAAAAATGCGGCTCTACAGTACGGAAGATTGGTGTATGGGACGGCAGGAACACTGGTGGTTTTGCGTGTTGCTGCAATGTTTATGGTATCGGTATGTCCAAAAACGGCTGATTTCACAAACATGTTGATGAAGTTTGCTGTACAATTCTGAGCCTAGATAATGACCCTTAGATCGGAGGCTTCGCAAATTGTGTTGCGAGCGAGCCAAAAAAACGGTTGGTGGTTTTAAAAAAGTTTTAACCCATTGTTACAACAAAACAGGTTCATCAATATCATGATCCCATTTGAGTTGGATCGATCTTGTGATTACTGGAGGTTTCATCCATGGGGATACTCCCGATACTCCCCATCCAGTCACGGGATGCTGTTGGGGACAAATTTTCGCACAAGCCATATGGCTGGCTATGGATCAATAGCTATAGAATACAATTCTTTATGGTGGCGATTCATGCCAACAAAATAAATGCCATCCACTTTGACATGTTTTTTGCCGGAGGGTACAGGCTCATAGCCAAACGAAGTATTTGTGGCAAGACAACGGATATTGTATGGGAAAGATTGCGATATATAAGATAACAGTATCCCATACAAAATCTATTTCCCATCAGTTCCCATAAATGGGATATCTCAATTATCCGATTATATATATTATAAACTATCTTGGGCCAAACTCTTCCGATTATCAACTATGTTCCGATTATCAATCATTACAAGAAGACAACATGTTTTTCTACTATGTCTTTACGATAATCTATCTCTTGATAGAAACAAGAACCTACTAATGGTCAGGAACAAAAGTATCATGGGATCCAAATGGATACTCTGGTAGAGTAAAATAGCTATGAGAAATGGTCTTTTCCATTTATAGCTATGTTAAGAATATGATGATGATATTTACCTATTAATGGAGTGCTGTTATTTTCCATCATTTATTTTCCAAATGGTAGCTTTATGATTGGTTCCAATCATCATTCCATTCATCTCATTAAATCCTGATTCAAAGCCCATGAAATCACCATTTTTTAACCCAGAAAAACACTATAGATGTTTCATGGTTGAATCCCGTGAAAGTCCCACCAAGTCCCATGAAAATTCCATTGTTTTATAGAAAAATCACCATAAATGCATCTTTTTTCGTCCCATGATTATCTCAGTTCGATGATCTTCCCAGTGAAAAAACCCTCCATTTACTTCCGGGACCCAAGATCTTCCTTATGATTCCATGTATTTTTGTGGCGTTTCAAAATTGATTTTCCAAAAGCAGAGTAGCCAGTTAAAAAATCCAGGTTCTTTTCGGATCCTTGAAATCACCCATCCAGCGATAAATGGTAGGTACCCCCATGACTACAACTCGTGGGGCCCCCAGTTGATAGAGTTCAGTTGGTGAACATAACTCCAATGTCACACAACTATGGTTTATGGTACGTAAATAACTATACTTACTGGGATTTTAATTCACCAACTAACATCACTGGTTCCAATATGTCACTTTTTGGTTTATGGTACGCTTAAATACCATTCAAATAACTTTAGTATTCATGGGCTGAATCTAAATCAATTTATAAGTGGTTTAACTATGGTTAATGGATGTTAATGGTACTTATAACTATAGTTCATGGGGATTATGATGCTTTATAAACCAACGGTTCACATCACATTTTGGGGGCACCTCAGGTTCGCTGGAGTTCGTGGATACGCGGCCAATGGCCACCTGTTGTATGCGCCTGGCCAACGCCAAGCGCACGGATGCGCTTCGTCCTACGAAACAAAAATGCCCTTGGATAGGGATTTCATCGTGATTTGGTGATTGTTCATGGGATTTTGTGGGATTTAATGACATTTAGTGGTGATTGAGTGGTGACTTAATGGAATTATTTGGGATGGGATTTTGTGGGATTTAATGACATTTAGTGGTGATTAAGTGGTGACTTAATGGAATTTAACAGTGATTTGCGATGTGATTTTGTTGGATTTAATGGTAATTTACCCGGTAATCAAACGTGGCAAGAGAAAATGCCCTTGGGGGGCAGGCTTATAGCTGGAAAAATTATCTATAGATGGGGAATTGTCCATTGCCATGTTTGATTGCCAGAGGGTAACCAACGAGAATTCATGATTTACAGTACTTAATGGTGATATAACAGGGATATATACCCTCTATTTTATTTAAAATACCTATGGAAACTTGCCCATGTGTAGATAATTTACGCGTTGAAAATTGTATTTCTCAAGGCTATGTTAGATTGCCAAATGGTATATATCATATTAGGTATAGTAGCCCTCAAAATGCACAACTATTTATTTTGATAGGATTTTACGTGTCTATCTTTTTGGTGGTTGCTGCATTCCTAAACTAAATGCATTATACAAGCAAACTAAATGTATATATAAATGTATGTGTACGTATAGTATGTATCCACAATACTTTATCATATTTGATCTATGAAATATCAAATTTGGTGGCTCATCCCACTCAATGTATCCACATATATACCCAAAACAGACAGAAAAGTGGTAGATCCAACACTAAAATAGTGATAAATCACTCTTCTTAAT